TGATGAATAAAAGGAAAAAAGAAAAAAAAAAGTAGTTATCAATAAAGAGGACATGAGCTATCCAAAGGCACAACTACCAGTCATTGAAAGAGAATCTAAACATTTATAGGCAAAGGTCTATTGGGGGTGGGGGTGGTAAACCCACACAAAAACATATATTGTATGGGGATGCCCATACAACCACTGGGGCAGAAAGAAAGCAACATGGATCCTTTCAATGGGGATTGGGAGGGAATAATTGCAATAGGCATAGTCTCCCCTCATCATGGAGATATTGGGGAGATAAGTAGTCCTTGACACGGGTCAACATTAGAGATACTGCTTTTTCCTCTCCGTTTATCACTCTCATCTCACGCAGTCAGTGCCACTTAATGTTCCCCTCACTACGGTCCATAGAGAAGAATTGAGAGGTAAGCACAGGATTTTCCGAGGGCAATTCTCACATTTAACGGAGACTAATAGCATTAATGGCCAAGGAGGGTATAGTGGTGTTTATATGTCGAAGAGGTTGGCCCCAAAGGACTCAGAGACCTTCCGCATTGGAAGGGAAGGGGTGGCATATCTAGCAAGATGTTAAATTTCCTCCTTGTGTGACAGCTTCTTAGGGTCACAAACTTACTGAAGAGGGCCCAACGATGGCAATTAGCCATACAATTCTCCACATAACTAAGAGCAACGATTAGCAAAATTAAATCCTTTAGATAGCAAACAAAGACTAGGAACCAAAGAGAAAAGAATAATCGAGCTTAAAAATAAAACAAAACCTGTCTCAAACAGCGGCATTTAACCTTGCCTTTATCAGTCATGGGGTGTAAAAAGACAAAAGACCAACATGAAACGAAATGGTTACTTCCCTGTGCCAAGGAGATCTTTTAGAAACAAATGTCTTAAATTCTCTGTAGGCTCACAGGATTATGGAGGCTGAGGCTGTGGCTCTTCCGGAAGATCAGACTCCAGGTAGTTGTTCCCGCTGGCCCAAGGCTTCAAGCACATATGATGGATCCAAGCATCTATTCTCAAAACCTTGGCTACAATCTGTGTAATCGGTGATTCTCTTTTTCTTGCCTACTTCTAGGGCTCGGGTTAAGGCAATTTGTTCTGTGAGTTGGGCACTGGTCCCAGGGGGAAAGGGAGTACTCCCAAGGTTCTCTTCTAAGGTCACTATTGCATCCAGCCCTGTGGACAGCATCCTTGACCAAAGAGCTACCATCTGTAAAAAGGATTAAGTCAGAACTTTCCAAAGGGGTAGCCTTTAGGTGACCTCTAGCAGCATTGTTCTGCAGAGGTACAAAGAATTGGGCACCTCTGCCCTGCACACCAAACTCTAGGCCACAATAGAAAACAACACAAAAACACCTCAGGGCCTGGGACCCAGGCAGCCTTCAGAGAGCATGCCATTCGATGAAGCTCAGGGTGACCAAGGATGTCACCCTCATGCCCTCTGACAGCACCACAGAAGGAGGAGTCTCTTGGTTACCCTCTATAAACAGGTATCCTCAAATTATTGCTTTCTGTAAATAAATTGCTTTCATATTTATAAAGAGAAGAAGAATTTTGCTTTTTCTGAGCATAAGGATATAATGTGCCTTGTAGTTCATGAAGCTACTGAAACGTTTAGGTCTCATGCTTCACCCCTCAGTGCAGCCATGCATGTGTCTCACCCTCAGGGCACAGCCCCTATCTTGCACCCACCCGATTATGCACCAAAAACCTATACAAAACCTATAGACTAATGTGGTTAATGAGCATCATCAATTAAAAAAAGAATATTTTATGTTAGAAATTGCACCGGAAAACCAGAAATACCTGAAATCTTGCTGCTCATATATGAAAATGACTTAAATCAAGATTTTCTGGAAATTGACAATCCAAAAAATTTAAAATCAACTGGAAAAGCAAGTTGAGACCAGGAGAGGTGAGCATCGACATTTCTGAGGAGGTGCTGATATTTCTGTTAGTGGACATGGTGGGTACATTGAGAAAGGATGATAAACAATAATTGTAAGCGGAGAATAAATCTGGTTTTGTGTTCCTGGGTAAACACTTTGAATAAGTTTCTACCCAGCCCTCGGTGAACCTCGCCATGGACTAAGCACTATGATGACCTTAGACACTGGCCTTAGAGGGAACATGACATCTCCCAAGAGTCATACCTCAAGCATAGAAGCTCGGCTAAATGAACTGGACCCTTGCAGTTCTTGGACTTAGGACTGAAATTCACTTATGGGAGAAGAAGCAAAGGATGATCACCCCAAGACTGTGGAAATGGCTTGGAAATGGCTGTTGCTGGACTTTGGGTGGGACCCCTGGCCTAGTGGGCATTCAATGAAAGGAGACCCAGAACCACCATATCTTTAAAACCCCAGTGCTCCCTTTGTATTAATATGACAGGTTAGAATCTGATAAGCAAGGATCTGCCCTTGTAAGTAATGTTATAGGAAATATTCCCTAGTAACAACCCCTATGCTCAATGTAAACAGACCTCAATAAAGTAAGAAATCAATCTGTACAAAGCAACAAATCATGGATTACAGCTCACAGTTGGACTATATTCACCTAAACTCATATTAAGGTAACATATCAAGGTTAAGGTAACAGTACCTTAACTTCTATGCCATTGGATAAATTATTGGTGTTGTCAATCCAATCTCCTTATGCCCAGGGGCATGATTCACTATGTCTTCCTTTTTTGTTTGTGCTTGTTGTTGTTATTGTTGTTTGTTTTTGTTTTTTGTTGTTGTTCTTGGTTGTGTCATAATATGACCACTAAAGTAAACCAGAGTCACTCATAACCATAGACAAGAAGATGGATTCTGGGCTCCCATTTAATTCTTGTTTCAATTCAAGAACAGTTAGTTCTTACTGTAGTTAGATAATTTCATGTCAACTTGAAGATACATAAAAGTGTAGGTGTGAAGTTTAGTCTGTCAATCAGATCACAGCCTGATGGTGACTCCTGGTGGGTGTAGTCTTCTCATAGGTAGGTCCTGGGAACCTCCCCCTACCTGTGTGCCTTCCCCTTTCTGCTGGCTGACCCTGATGATGGTCAGAGTCCTGGAGATCGATCCAGGGCCATTGGATCCACAAGACTGTGCACCCACTGAACTGTGGTTTTCCTGCATTCTACATCATTGCTTGTAACTGGAAGAGTTTGGAAAAGGTCTTATGGACTAGTATTGGACCTATGGACTTGAGTTTGGCTGGGCTGGGATGTTTTATTAATGCATAACAACTTTTTGATATAAAGTTTTTTTCTTACACATATGTGCCACTGGATTTGTTTCTCTAGTCAACCAGTCTAAAACATTATGATACCAGAAGTGGGGTACTAGAGAAACAAATCATGAAGATGTGGGGGAAAGGGTTGTCTGGACTCTGCCTTATCACAGTGTTTCTTCTTTAGCTAGCTGGAGGTCAGATATGGCCATGCAGATTACTGGGTTATTTTCTAGAAAGAACAGGGGAAGCTAAAGTTTTGATTCATTTCTTTGGTTGTTGACTTTGGTTATTCCTATCTGAAATGGCAAAAATGAATGTGATAAAGGTAAATTTTGAGATTAAGGGATGAAAACACACTTTGAACTTCTCTGAGACCATGTGGCTTAATCAAAATGGCTGACCAAAGGCTTGGCTCTGGCTTGATGCAGCAAGACACCTAAGGTCCCATTGCATATGAATGGCATAGTTAGATAAGAAAATATTGAAATTGACTGTTTTAAGAATTGTACATAGGAACTAGCTGCTGTAGGATATACTGATTTCATCTCTCTATTTTTATTGATATAATATGTGATAGAAATGATTATTGGAAAGTATCAATAGAGAGTTTTTAAGTCTACTGACTTGGATCTTTATTTTATTTTCCTTGTCCCAGCGTTTGAGGATAGAACCAGCGGACGGGTAGCCGCTGGCACCAAAGACATGATGCCAAGGGGAACGGAGTCTGCTCTCTCTGCCTCCAGAAATAGGATCTTTAAATGGCTTAGTAAAAAAAACGCTTGCAAAGAAGGCTTAGAAAAGGTAAGGCCCACCCAATACCTTGAGTGCTCTGTACATTTGCATTTGAAGAGACTTGCTGTGAAAGCTGTTGACAGACTGAAGGCAAAAAATAAGCCATTTGACTTTTTGAATTTTGAACTAGTGGTTTGCTTCTGAAGCTGGAAAAATTTGGAACCATGAAGGAAATCTCCTTTTTAGGACTGAACGTTAAGAGAGCCTATGGGCAGGTTGAAATGCTTGCTTGGTGACCATCTGGATCTACTTGTTGAGTGGAAGTGGGAGAAACGCAGCAAAAGAGAGACAGGTTGATTACCAAAAATAGACTTTGGGGCCAGGGCTTGGCACCCCATCATATTCGACCAGAAAACACTCCTAAAGGACAAAAACAGTCCTTGAACTAACTACAAGCTTTTCTTTTTTGTTGTTGTGATTCTTTTGTCATTGGCTTTTTGTTATTGCTGTTTTATTTTCTTGTGTTGCTTAGTTTTGCTCTGTCTTGTTTTTGTGCATATTATTATCTCTGCAGGT